GATGTGACGTCAGAGCCAAGCGGCGTCAGAGCGTCCATTCGAGAAGAGCACTGGGACGAGGTAGACGTATAGTTGCGTCCCGAAATTATATTAGTGTTTCGGTACATACTTACCCACCAACACAATTACTTCAGGTAAGAACAGTGAGAACGTTTGTAAGTGAACGATTGGAGCAAAAGTGACGCCGAACCGACCTTCGCCGAGGAAGTGAAAAGGATATATATTTTTTTTCTCTCGGAAGTAAGGTCTCGGGACGTCGCCGCGAGTCTGCCATTGTTAGCGGCGAAACGCGCTCACGGGGGAAAAGGGAGGAAAACTGGGGAAACTACGCTGTGAAATGCTCATCGCCACCCCTGAGCACGCACCGGAGATCGTAGCCGAGCAATGGAGACGATAAACGAGCGCAAAAAGTGGCGGATGCACGTAATATAGAATGATGAAGAGAGTGAGTCATGATGGATCGGGAGCGCGGCGGACACCGGTGGCTTGGCTTGGGGGCGGGGAGGAGGAGGAGGGGGGAGAGAGGGAGACCATAACCCCCCTATAAACGAGTGAGGGTGTTTTTGGGGGGGGGGGGAGGGGAGTTAAGGTGTTTGTATTCTGAATCCACGAAAGACCCCCACAGTTTTATCAATGAAACGTAATCGTAAATAACCCTCGCTGGACGTGGGTCGCCCCGGAGGTCCTCGCCGTCGCTCGCGCCGCCCACGGAGGGTTCGCACCGGACGTCGGGAACGGCACGCTCGCTGGAATTTCCTCCTGAGAGAAAAGATGCAATAAAAGGACAAAGATTCCTTTATAGATTTACATATTTATATACTATACTATAATTTGTAGGAAGATTTGGTTTTGTAGGTTCGATTTCGTACGAATATTCAGCGTTTTCAAATTACACTTCGGTCTTTTGTGCTACAGTTGTGAAATGTACTTCTCATTAAGATTAAATAAGCGAAATTTAAGGGATGGAGTACTTGGGTAGTTTTTTCGTGAGTTTTGTAGTTCACTTTATTGACTTCAGCACAGTTCTAAAAAGAATTTATAAACTTGTATTTCAAAGAGCACTTGTTATTGCAATTATTGAAAGCTTTCATTTTTACAATAAAAGATGTTTTCACAAGTGGAGGGTGTGGCTTTTAATCTTTGTTTACTTTAGGGGGCGACTTTCCATAGACGTATCTGACTTCCGTTATTCTCTCAACAGACAAAATGCCACCGAAGACTAAGATCTTCGTTGGCAAGCTGCCGCCAACGTGTAAGGATTTTGAGCTGCGAAAATTGTTCGAACGTTTTGGTGAAGTCACAGAATGTTCAATCCTTGGCAATTATGCCTTTGTACACATGAAGACAGAAGATCAGGCAGGCAATGCTATCAGGAACTTGAACAACTGGGACCTCAATGGCTTCAAAATTAGTGTAGAGGTAGGTTTCGGAACCTTAATGATGTGATTGTTCGGTCTGGATAATGGAACAACGTTCGATTCTGAAGTATAGGCGCATGCTTAGTCGCATCTTAAATTTTTCAGCAATCCACGGGTGAGAAGCGAGCAGGTGGTATGGGTGGTATGGCTGGTGGAAGAGGTATGGGTGGGGGCTTCCGAGGGCGTGGTGGCCCAATGAGGGGAAGAGGCATGGGCAGACCAGGTCCATATGACCGCAGACCACCAATGGGTGATCGATATGGCCCACCTCCCCCTGGGCCCCCACCACCTGCTCCCCCCATGAGAAACGGATATTATGATGATTACGAGCGCAGAGACCGTCGCCCACTGCCACCTGCAGGTGGTCTGGACAGGCGCCCCCCACCTCCCCCCATGCCCAGGGAGCCCGCATACAGAGATCCCTATGACCGATACGATTCATATGAACGTATGCCCCCTCCACCTATGGGCAGGCGCACCCCACCACCCATGGACAGGCGGCCACCTCCCATGGGCTATGATCGCAGAGATGACCCTTACGGAGACATGTATGGACCACGAGCCGAGTAAGTATCATGTAGGGCATCCCTCATAGATTATGGATTAAATATTTGACGTAAAAGTGAATGCACGATTGTTCTTTTGGCAAGTTTAGTAACATGCCTGCACTTCTTATAGGCGTGACATGTACGGAGGTGGACGGGAAATGTTCCCTCCTCGTGGAAGATCCCCTCCCCGACGCAGTCCACCACGCCGGTGAGTAGGAACTGCAGTGCACTTTTGGGAATTTTGTGAAATAGTGTTATATTTGGGCATAATTAATTCCATTTTGTGTGTTGCAGTGTCTTTATAAATTAAGGGACAATTTCGCTTGCTAAGTAGGACAGTAACGAGATTAATCGAAAGGTAAAAGGTAACCTTGCGATGCCCACAGAATAATCGTCTTCAAAAGTTTGAAATAGTTTCACTGTCCATAACTATCGAATGTTAACTTGCGATTAGCAAACTTTTAACCTATTTATGGCTTGTCTTGAGCTGGAAAATGATATGACTATTTTCATGTTCTCTTGTAGCTACCCCGGTCCTCCCCGTGACATGCCCCCCCGACGCTTTTAGATGCGAAGTAGAGGCTGACAGCGACGTGTGCATGCACCGATAATCAGATCTTGGTGGCAGAGGCATTCTATATCAGTTTGAAATAAAGTTACTAAAAGTGATTTAGACGAATGAAGTCTTTATTCATGATTGCGTCACATGTTTGAACAAACCAGGAGACTTGAGTTTTTTTTAAGTAAAACAAAAAAGTCGATATTGTTTACTTTTAAGTGTACTGCGTACCAATAAATCTAATTTTTAAGGAAACCTTTAAAAGTTTTTTCAATGATTCCTTGCGACCATAATCATATATCACCACTGAAAAATACCGAACAATCACCAAGAGCTCTGATTAAAAAGCGGAAACAAAAATAAGGAGAGCAGTGCAGCGACAGGTATCCAGGTAAGACCCAATACTCACGTGAGGCGACCTTCTAGTTGTCACTTGCTTCAGTATCCTTGCCTGATCCGTCTGTAGTTCACTGTAGGACCTAGACAATGTCCTGGGCCAGATGCTGTTCGACCTACTACCACCCCCACTGTTCACAAGCATCGTAAGCGACCAGACTTGTGACGGCGATGTGACCGCGTGCTAGAGGCCCGAGGCAGCGCCGGCCGGCAACATCTCTTGCAGGTGGAGCGTGTGAGAGCTTGAGCGAGATGTGAATCAGGCGTTCGAGTGCCCGGACTTGCTCTTGGACTCGCTCACTCGTCTGACTCACATTCGTCTATCAGTGCGTGATTGGCAGGTTAGCTGTTTCACGGGTGAACTAAGGGAGGCGGTGCCCTAACAAACGTCTATTGACTTTTGCATGTCCTACCTCACTTAATAGGTTATACTCTTTAGGATTAAGTACAGTCTCAGTGGCTGCTAAGAATGCTCCCCTGTGAGTATATCATCCAAGCTTTACACTTAATCCATCGCATCACCTGAAATACCCATCTTACTATCTAAGAACCATTTTGCCATTCACTCGTCTTCTCTTTGGCAAGATATTTACCGACTGCGTACATGTCTACATTTAAGCAAAGCTGTGCCTAGCTTAATGACAGTCTGCGGTGGTAATTTCAACGCCTTTTGACATAATGTATTCATATGTATCTACATTTGCTTGGGTTTAATGTCTAAAAAAAAAAATTCGTGCCTGTCAAATCTTCATCGTATTAGTTTCACCTTAGAGGGATACCATTAATAGATGTGATTACGCTCCTTGTAGTAAAGTCTCGTACTTTCAAGACTTTCGAAACCTGTTTTTCGATTGCCCCTTTTCACATAAATGATGTGGACGTTTTGAAGTAAATTTCCCAGCCCATAAAAAGCCTAAACTCTCCCTAGACTTCCGCGAAACCCTTCGCATCGACAACATCAGAAAACTCTTGCAGCGTCAGTTTAAATTTTTAGTGCAGTATCCCTATCCTTAATGGTTTTGACTATGACTAATATTTTCTTTTTTACTTAGGTTAAACTGGGACATGACCAGTATGGGTTGATGACATCCAGTTGAACCCAGATGAAGGTTGTGAAGCAGCCCAAAGCCTGACACTTTGGTGGTAGTCGTCGCCTGGAATTGCAGTTAACCTCAACGAGGAAGTTCTTGAAATTGAATCAATGGTAAATATAAAGTTAATTGATACTGATTCTATTTTCTGAGTTTTTATTTTCCCTGATACGTTTCATCTTTTTACATGGTGGTAATTAGTAAACGGATGAATGTAAATATCATTGAATTGGGGCTGATATTATATTCTCAAGAATTTGTGTGAACTATGAAAATTTTTATTACAAAAATTTAACTTTTCTTCTCTTTTGCCAGGTTGAGGACTGCTGTTTGCTACAATTCACTTGAATGGATCTCAGAGCAAGAAAATCTTAAGAGCTTCCATTATAATTTTTATATTGTAAATGTATTTCTTGGTTGAATTATAGAAATCCTCAGTAATCGGTATTTTTTGTTTTAAATATGATGGCTCAGGGTTTAAGTAAGGTGATATTGTATTGTATGCAATAAAAGGAAATGTTGAGTACAAGTTTTATTCCCACATACAAAATGATTTTGTAGATTCAGTCTGCTAAACTTTGTCCACTAAGTTTATTAGTGTTAACTTGTAGTTACTAAAAGTAAGGAATATATTCAATTTTGATCATGTTACCTTTTATTGGGTAGTAATTGTTTTAATGGTTTCAAGTTTAATTAGGTCATTGATAGGTCTAAATGAAGGATTAAATAATAGAAAGGAGTTCTATTAAATTCTGTATTACATCACATACAAAAATCACATGGGATCTTGCTTCACCAGTACAAAAATATTTGCTTTCATGTCAGTTGGACATTTTACATCCATTCATTAATATGCCAATCAGTCTGCATGGCATCTCATAACTAGCACAAAACTCAGTTATTCACACTTGTGTATTATCACAAACTAGTTACTGGTGGCAACTTTACAATTATAACATGAATTAAATAAAACATGGCAAAAGGCAGT